ACAAGGTAAATGCAATAAAACACATTTGGAACAAATAATTAGTGACAATTAACAGGAATGCTTGCACGAATAGATCTTGGTATTTAGTATTTTTCATTAAGGCATATTTCAATTCATACACAATGAGTGTCACTGATAGCGTCTGAGTTCAGCAGATCCAAGAGTTTTTAACAAGATGACATGGTGCTATGAAGCCCTGTTGTTTATGTGAATGCTAGTGACGATATCTAGCTGCTTACACAGAATTAAGCATGATGTATTTCGAATGTGCCATCAACTACTACTAGTTGAAGTTGAGGTGAGATAACCACGAACCACCACTGAACTCATATACTACTGACGGAATTCGACTTGTACCGATGAGTACATCTTTTATTGATTATCACTTAAAGATAAACGGTGTATGTAAAACGAAGATTTTGCAGACTAGACTTAGACTGCATAATTCAAAAGTTGATCTTTAATACAATCAAATAAGCGTATCATAATTCTTGATTTCAATAATAGTAACTTGTATTAAAAACAAACAATATTAGTAGAGGTACATAGTGGCTAGCGCTGGAATCCAGGACGCGCGTTTCGTCCAATTTGGGACTTGTCAGCTGAATATGCCTGCAACCCAGAGTCAATGCTTACTTCTACACTCGAACCTAGTGTACCTTAACCTTTCCAACGCCATCGCATTATCCAATTAGCTACTGAGTCCAGATGCTTATGCGGGGTTGTGCAACAAGATGAAGACTAATTCATTTGTACGCAGTTATATCCAGCTGACAAGTCCCAAATAAGATGAAAACCACTATCTACTATAGCTAATCAATAATGCTTGTAACCTAAAGGCCACATCAAGGCAATCCATACAGAAGAGAATGATCAATTACAGGCTTAAACATCAATTGAGAAGATTCAAATAACCAATGCAAAAAAGGATATAAAAAACATTATGGAAATATCTCACCTTGGTGGTGTGTTAGAAACATATTGTACAATTTTCATATCAATCAATTTATCAAGTTCAGATCGAAATAATTCTGGATCTATCTACAATGATAGAAGAGAGAGAGAGATGAAGAGAAAAAGAAGGGAAACTGAACTAACATTCGAGTCTCTCTCTTTACTCTAATGACAAATTGATTTGACTAAGACAGACGCTGAATGATTTATTTGAGTATACATAATTCATTCTCTCTATATTAGATTACCCTGGCCTGTATGATTTTGTCAAGAATTCAACAAAACTCAGAGCAATAACACATGATTTACCTGATCACACAAGGAGTAGGGAAATATGTATGACACATTAAATGCTTGTCAGTCTAATACAACTACCAATCACTAAATTCTATCACTTACGCAATAAAAACAGCATATTATTGAGGAAATATCGACTTAAAAATTAGTCAGTGTAAATGATAAAAATGAAAACTGTACTGCATAGTGTTACAGAATTCATTAAGTTGAACTGAGACTATCACAAGTACAGATACAGAAGGCTCGATTGGCTTTTGCCAATTTGCGTCACCTATGGCGCAGACTAGATACCCGTTTGCTAATTAAAGGACGAATGTACTGCTCAGTAGTTCGCTTCGTCCTAATTTATGGCTGTGAAACATGGCCAGTCAGAGTAGAAGATATTTGTAGGTTGCTGGTTTTCGATCATAGGTGTCTTCGAAGCATTGTTCGAGTATCGTGGGACAACTGAGTAAGCAATGCTGTTGTTAGGAAACGAGTACTACGTATGGATGGCAGATCAATAGATGAAGTAATGAGGACGTTGGGACATGTGTTACAAATGTCTAACTACTGATTGCCTCGTCGAGCTATGTTTTGCGATGTAGGAATAGGTTGGAAAAAAGCTAGGGGCGGCCAGACCAAAACATGGCAGAAATCCATGAAGTCACTGATAAGTGGACTGAGTCATGTTGGTAGGTATCCACTATCTCGTTAGAGTCCGCGAAACGATAGTTACCGATGATTAGAGACTTTGAATGACATCGTTCAAAATTGTCTGTAATGGTGCAAGTGCATTCATTCTTTATATCCTCTCACATCATAAACCTTTTAGCTCCTCATCACTTTTTCTTTATCTTTTTAAGTTTATTTCACTAGATTATACTTCCTGAATAATATCTTCGAGCACTAATCTCTCCGATTAGCGCTACTACTTCTACCATCTCTACCACTATGGGATTTGAACTGACAATTGCATCTCTGTGGTAATGCGGTATGGCAACTTGAACTGATGTACGTACGTACGAAGTTCTATGTTGTTGTTGACTGATTGACACTATCGCACTTGTGAAATATATAATGTGACGGGATAACATAAATTGAACTGAAACAATTATGATGATGCCTATCGATAAATCATTTTGATTTACACGCACATATATCATAACTAATAGAAAAATAAAACTTACTTGTTCATGTTGTCGTAAACATGCTGACAATTCACACATACTACAACCTAAAGGATGCTTTGAACTTTTAATTGTATCTAGAATCTTTTTTGCACAAATTGAATATTGAAATTCGAAGTGTTGATTTTCTTGTGTTTCAGAAGTGAATTGATTGTTAGTTTCATTTGGTTGTGTAGTAGAATTTATGTTAGTTACATTATTGTCGGTTGAATTAAAATTGTGTTCTTTTAAAGGAATAATGTTTTCAGTCTAACATTTTTAGAGAAAAGAAAAATCGCGAAATGTAAACAATTTGTGAAATAATTATGTAATACTGTTTATGTCACATATAGAATAAAATATTTTCACCAATGACACTAAAACCACAACTTTAGCTTAGACATAAGGACGATATTTTCGTCGTTATAAAAAAGACTTTCCTACGAACTTTCTTCATAGTGATCAATAAAGTCTCAGACTACACTAAATTCACTTGTGAGAATGAAAATGAACATGGAGAGCTATCAATTTTAGATTGCTTAGTTAAAAGAAATCTAACTAGAACCCTAAAACTAAGTATATATGTTATACACGTTTCGAAGTATGCTTAAATATTACGGATTCACTTTAGTCGAATAACGAGAACAAAGCAATGAACCAGCGTCCACGTAGGCTACTGTGATCTGACTGACCCAATTGTACCAGCAAGAAGTCTTGATATAGCGTGTATTCTACAATAAATCCAAGCACTCAAATTGCGTTTATTTATACTCCATGGAGACGTCTTTGGGAGAGTCACAAAAATAGCACACTAAAATGACACAGTAACCAATCACAGCCAAGGATTTCCGGATGTGAAATGTGATCTCAAGGTCAACTGATCGGTCCATGAAATAAATCCAAAATAAAGATATTTATCAAGCGAGTTCTGGGGGCCTAACATCCCAAACGATATATTGAGAACCAACACACTGAAATCCTTATATATTGACTTTAGTTCAATGCATCCATTCAGAGAAAAAATCTCTCTAATGTTAAATCTATTGGAAAAGAGCAACTAAGATTATTACAAAAAACAAAACCTTATAATAAACATGTTAAAAATCCTATGAACATCATTAAAAAGGTAATGAAGTGAAACAATTAACCGCTAAACAATAGTTCAAATGAAGAACCATGGATAGATAACGTAGTTAGTTTTACCGTACCGTCATGGTACAACAAAAGAACTCTGAAGAGTTTTAAGACAATATAGAACTAAAGTTTATTACAAAACAACTAACACCCTTCGTAGCACTTTAATTAGTATAAAAGATAGGATCGCCTTTAAGTCAACACAGAATTGTGTCTACAAATTAGGGTGTATCGATTGTGATGCTTTCTAAATTGGAGAGGCTTCTTGTGCAACCTTGCCTCGAGACAAAAAAAATCTGGGGTACACAAAGAAACCGTCTAATTATCCTGTAGAGCGTGGAAGACTCCAAATTAAACTAGCAATAGCACTACATGCAATCTTCAATAACCACCAGTCGATATTAAAAATATCAAAATAAAGCAAAAAGGCTTTTCCAACTACAAAGAAAAGTGAGTAGCTGAAGCTTTCCTTATAATACTAAATCCTACAGTCCTCAATAGAAAAGACCATCTTACTCATCATCCGACCTCGACCATCTATCCAAGTTACTATATCTGAGTCTTTTCACATTTCACACTATTATCATACATACAAATTCATCTCTTTCATTTCTTATTGCAAATGTAACATTTTTGATGCTCATCAACACACACAAGCGTATTTCACGTAGATCACCTTGACCTGTGTGACATGACATTGACTTGGTTAGACCTATTTTTTTGATTGATTGACTGACTGTACTAAGAGTACTTTTGTTTTATTCCTTTGTACTATTTAAACTTGGTTTAATCTAATTTGTTTGTTTACTTTCCGAAGAAGTAGTGGGATGTTACAAACATCTGAATTTTATGATTAACAATCCACGCACTGCTCAGTTGATTTGAAATTATCAAATCAAACCTTGGTAATGACACCTACAATGATTGATTCTGTTTGAACCGATATGAAATTAAATAATTATCAAGATTATCATGTAATGAGATAGATTTCAAAGATGATGAGTATATTTGGCATGAGAATTTTGCTCATAGTTTACGAAGTGAATGGGAACCAATAGTTTTCGTCACTGTTTATATTACTCAATATGAACTGGCAACTGAGTATATTTTGGGATGGACGTAAGAATTTGGATTAATGTATCTCTGAATCTTGCCAACAATTTAGCATATAGTTCTGTCATATGAGTGTTAAATAAAGACACAACATGATAGCTCTTCATATACATGTTTAATCGCTGAAATATCAAAAACACTAATTGAATGTAGTTGAATAAATGGTATAATATTGTACATAAGTGCATAGTTTCAGTTAAACAAAGCAAACCAACTGATAGGATTATTTTCAGTTAGAGTTTTGGAGATTTGTGTTTTTACACATTTGAAATCATCAATCAATCATTGTTAGACCACCATTAGGAACCTGGAAGCACAGGACGGCCAATTCGTCCTGGTATGGGACTCATCAGCAGTGCGCACCAACGACTCCTGCACCTCGCAGGATTCGAACCCGGGACCTTCGGTATTGTGGGCAAACACCTAACCATCGGACCACTGGGCTGGCATCCAACGGTGTTAATGTCTAACTCTGATTGACCTAGGGATTTTGCGCAACCTCACCCATTTGTCTTTGGTATTTACTACCTACACCGGACAGAGGTGAACTCCAACGGTCACGTCTTCTCACTAGAACTCTGAGAATTTCCTCACGAAGCTAGTCACTAGTGAGCCGTCCAGTGCTCCGAGGTTTCTAATGGTGGTCTAACAATGATTGATTAATGATTTCAAATGATAGGATTATACCGAATGATTATATGTAGACTACTTGGTTGTGGTCCGCGAGACGACAACAACCGATGGTTAGAGACCTTGAACGACATGGCTCAGAATCGTTTGCAATGGTGCATGTGCATCCACTCTTTGTGTTCTCTAAAATTCTAATCTGAATTCATCACATTTATCTTTATCCTTCTAAAGATATCTCACTGAACTATACTTATTGAATAATATTCTCGAACCGTAATCTTCCCCATTACCGCTAATACTTCTACTACCTATACCAATATGGGGTTTGAATTGACAATGGCTTCTCTGTGCTAATGTGCTATGGCAACTTGAACTAATGTACGTACGTACGAAGTCCAACATTGTAACTGACTGACTGTACTTTGTAAAAACTTGGTACTGATTAGATTAAGGATTGGTACCGATTTATGAAGTCAACAGTTGATTATTCAACCAGAATTGTAAACTTATGATTCAGAATTTCTCGGTTAATCGAATCTGAAGTCAGAATGAAAATCAATGCTAAGTGAATACTTCTAAGTAATGATTAAAAGACCAAACAATTTATTAGATTACTTAAATTTGTGATTTTTTCGTCAAATATAACTCAATAAAATATGTTTAGTGATATATCCAAACTAAGATAGTGACATTCATTGAGATTTAAAACGTAAATATATACAACCAAATCATGTCAATTTTTAATACCAGGACGAAACGGCCGTCCAGTGCTTCCAGGTTTCTAATGGTGGTCTAACATTGATCGATTCATGGTTTCAAAAATGTGTAACTTAACAATCTTCACAACTCCGTAATGCAAATTACCTCTGCTCACTAGTGACTAGCTTCGTGAGGAGTCTTCTCGGAGTTCTAGTGGGAAGATGTGACCAGTGAAGTTCAACCTGTTCGGGTGTAGATAGTAACTACGGAAGACTGTGTATGAGGTTGCGCAACTCTGTGAATTGATCAAGTTAGACATTAACACTGTTAGATGCCGGCCCAGTGGTCCGATGGTTAGGCGTTCGCCTACAATACCGAAGGTACTAGGTTCGAATCCTACGGGGTGCAGGAGTCGTGGATGGGCACTCCTGAGGAGTCCCATACCAGGACGAAACGGCCGTCCAGTGCTTCTAGGTTTCTAATGGTGGTCTAACGTTGATCGATTCATGGTTTCAAAAATGTTTAATTTCTAATGAGTACAACAACAATAACAAGAAAAAAACGTTTCAAAATGTTACAAGAGAGACGTGATACTGATATGAATGAATATAAATCACATATGGAATAAGAATTTCTCAAAGCTCTTAGCAAGAAATTCACCAAACACAAATCATTTAGGAAATTCAAAAAGGATTGGCCAATAAACAGTCAAAATTAAAAGTAACACAATACAAACAAAGGTTTGTCAAACTAAAAACACAAAATTATCGAATAACTAATATTACGTATCAAGACTGTTATTTTTAGATAAGATAGGGTCGGTAAATTAGCCGACCATACAAATAAACCTATCAGAAAAATTAGTAATGTTTGGAATAACCTTAATAGCTCACTAATTTATAGAGGATTATGTTAATTACATAGAGGTAGTAACAACAAGACAAGCTTTTAGAATATAGTATGTTTATAAAACGTGAGTGGATTGGTTAGAGAGTGAAGTATATTTAACAACTTAATAACTAGTTGTGTATTTTTAAGAATAATTTATTAAACAACGCTTTTTATGGTAGTTTAAAATAAAACTCGGCTGCACAAATCAAATAATCTAAAATTGGTTTTGAATTCACAAACCTTCAATGGTTTAAAATATTTGCAGACAAATCAATGAACCTTTTTATATAAATGGTAAAAACAATTTGAGTTATTCTGTTGTAGCTTCGTAGATAACACAAAGGTAATTGGGTCCCAGTCCCAGTATGATTGTCAACATTGGGATGCAGGTACATGCAACGGACATGTCTTAAATAAGACAAAAAGCATGAACTGCATTCTGTTATTGGCAACAATCCATTTATTCTATATAAAACACTGATTCTTTTGTTCTACTGTTGTTAAAGACAACAGTTTGAAGGACATTAGGTAATTTCAACTAAGCAACATATTTGCATTATGGGGTTGTAGAGATTGTTGACTTACTTTTTAAAATCATAAATCGATCAATGTTAGACCGCCACTAGAAACCTGGAAACACTGGATGGCCATTTCTTACTGATATAGAATTCATCAGAAATACGCTTCCACGACTCCCGCTACTAGGGTTCGAACCCAGGACCTTCAGTCTTGCATGCAAATGCTTAACTACTGAACCACTGGGCTGGTATCTAACAGTGTTAATGTCTAACTTCGACCAATCTACGCTTTTTGTGCAACCTTATCCACTGTCTTCGGTGAGCACTGCTTCACACCTGAACACGGTTGAACTCAACTGGTCACGACTTCTCACTAGAACTCGGAGAAACGTGCTCACGGAGCTAGTCGCTAGTTAACAAAGGTAATTTGCATTATGGGGTTGTGGAGACCATCGGGTTAGCTTTTGAAATCATGAATCGATCAATGTTAAACCGCCATTAGAAACGTGGAAGCACTGGACGGTAATGGTGGTCTAATATTGATCGATTCATGATTTCAATACGTATTATGTGTTTCACAGTCAAGTGAATAGCAACGATGAGTGGTGATGTTAAGGAATATATTTGAAGACAATAATAAAGTGAATGACCAAAAAAATGCTAATTAGTATCGATTACAATATTACATCTTTTCACATCTGCATTTTGTATTCATATAGACGCTCATTATTATGCAATAATAATAATAATAATAATAATAATAATAATAATTTTATATTGTATGATGCAAAACAAAGAAAGGTTAACAAAAATTAATATCCAATAAGTGAAAAGATTCGGTGACACACATATATATAGGTATATAAACATCATAAATATGCCGTAGGAATATTTATCGGAAATAACTCATCTAAATGAGGTGAAATAACATGTAAGTCTAAGGGTAATTATTGTCGCTTCATGCTCTTAAATCCAGCTACATCGATCATAGCTTGATTATGTAATTTCACAGCTAATAGATGTAGTGCTTAAGCAACTGAATCAAATCTAGCTTTGTTACTGAGTTGTATTGCTAATATTATTATCATAATGGAAGAGATTTGTCGGTGTTTGACACACAAAGTTTCATTACAGAATGACAAATGTTATACAGAGCTAGTGGATTGGTGTTTTCGATTCTAGTTTAGGATCAACTTCATGACAGGCATGAAGTCGAGCGATAAAAGAACGACATCTTAAGGCAACTAAGTCAAGATCTGTTGGATCAAACTTTCAACATCAAGTTAAGTGATGATATAACGCGACCATCAACTAAAACTATCAGTGAGAAGTTTCATTTTAATGTTGGTACCTACTTATATGCTTAATCTGAAATCGAAATTATTATTATTATCATTACGATTATTATTATTGATAAAAATGAAAGTAACTTAGTAATTCTGTCAGCAACGCTGTTATTAGGAAACGGGTGCTAGGTAAGAATGGCAGATCAATAGATGAAGTAATGAAACTTCATCAGTTGAGGTGGTTGGGAAATGTGCTGCGTATGCCTAAACACCGATCGCCTCGACGAGCTTTGTTTTGCAGTGTAGGAATAAGTTGGAAGAAATTTAGAGGCGGCCAAACCAAAACATGGCACAAATCCATGAAGTCATTGACAAGTGGACTTAGCCATGTCGGTAGGTGTCGACTACCTGGTTGGGGTCCGCGAGATGATAATAATCGATGGTTAGAGACTCTGAATGACATGGCTCAAAACCGTTTGCAATGGAGCTGGTGCATACATTCTCTGTGTTCTCTCAAATTCTAATCTTCTCGATTCTTCAACCTGTGGAGTTTTGACTTTCTAAACTTTTCTCACTGAATCATACTTCTTGAATAATATCTTGTCATCCTAACCTCTCCGATTACTTCTAATACCTTTACTACCTCTACTACTATTGGATTTGAATTGACAATTACATCTCTGTGCTGATGTGGTATGGCAACATGAACTACTGTACTTATGTACGAAGTTCTACGTTGCATCTGACTGACTGAAAGATGAATATTTGCGGAAAATGTCGGATAGCCTAGCAGGAATGTTTCTTCTAATTATTCAGAAATATATCCTATCTGATATCATTATCTACATAGACGTCTTGAGAAAATACAAAGTTTGCATATATTTTCATAAATTACTGTAGTCCGAAGGTTCACTTTGTTGACCCGACAACTAGGGTCCACACATGTAACTGTGAAACAGTGCAGAGCCGACTAAGGAGCCATCAATTGCTTTATAAATGGTCACAAACAAAACTTGTTACGAGTCATACATAAACGAATCTCTTCTTAGGATGGTTTCTAGATGGAAGTCAGACTAACTTATAAAAGAGAACTTCGTAAATTTCTTTCATTTTCTTCCATGGCTATATTTTATCGAAAGTTATTGTATATTTTATTTATATTTACTGGTTTTTTATGTAGCTAAAGGAAAAGGAACAAAGCAATACTCAATTTATTTTTACACTGTGAACAATCGCCTTCTTGTTTTTTTTATTTATTCTGGGTTCTTCAACCCCTCTAGTTTTGACTTTCTAAACTTTTCTCACTGAAGCATACTTCTTGAATAATATTTTCTAATCCTAACCTCTCCAATTACTTCTAATACCTTTACTACCTCTTCAACAATTACATTTCTGTGCTGATGTGGTATGGCAACATGAACTGATGTACTTACGTACGAAGTTCTACGTTGCATCTGACTGACTGAATTCAGTCATAAGTAATGTAGGACTTTTCAAAATCGAAGTATATAGAGAAGGTCAAACTTCAATGACTTAACAACTAGCCTATCGTTCCACCTGTCATATATATGTATCTATTCAAATAGATACATCATATCAGCACAGCAAAATGAAATACAAAGTGGTAAAATTAGTAATAGTAACAATAGTACTAAAAGAGAAAGAAACAATTTGTAAAATTAAAGGCATCGTACAATTTTATAACTTAAGATCTAATGAAAGACAAAAGGCAGATGCATTTAAGTCATTGAGACTAATTCTAGGCTATACCAACAGCAATCTCCAACTCAATAATTGACAAGTTCGAAATAGGCAAGTACATAATCATTACAAAAAACGTAAACCAAGTAGGATTCAGCTGCACGTATTGTAGGTAAATTAATTTGTTAAAATATTATCAGAGTATATATATATATATATATATATATATATATATATATATATATATATATCAAATATACTGAGATATTCTATTTAAAAAGATAACCTAGAATATTTTATCAACAAACGACTATTGGAAGTGGATATATATTGTTTTATGCGATACAGATTAGTATACTTAAATGTACATGTTAGTAGTATGATTAAAAATCTTAAATATAAACCAATTACTTTCAGTTCAATCACACTTAAAAAACAGATTTATAATTTGAAAATAGTTTACTAACTTCGATCTAGGTTAACTAACATCAGTGACATTAATTACTAAAGGTGTTTTTGGAGATTGTCTTATCTCATGACAGCCTGAAATTGTTGATATTAGTTGACATTTTCTAATATTCTGGGTTGATTTATCAATTACTAAATACCGAAGGTAAAAACGTATTAATCAAGTGTTCTAAGCTTTTCATTAAAACCCACAAAACGAATTAATGTTTGTTATAATTAAAAGCCGGCTTTATACATCGTGAAGACTAATATTAATTGAAAAATTTCCAACTATTACCATATTTTGGGGTAGAGTTTTGGAGGTTTGCGTTTTTACACATTTAAAATGATTGATTGATGATTACAAATGTGTAAAAACACAAACCCCCAGAACTCTGCCCCAAAATATCGTAACAGTACTCACTAGAGACTAGCATCGTGAGGAAATTCTCGGAGTTCTAGTGAGAAGACGTGACCAATGGAGTTGAACCCTGTCGGGTGTAGGCAGTAACTACCTAAAACAAATGTGTGAGGTCACTCAAAATCCCTAGATCAATCAGAGTTAGACATTAACACCATTGGATGCCGGCCCAGTGGTCCGATGGTTAGGCGTTCGCTCACAATACCGAAGGTCCCGGGTTCGAATCCTGTGAGGTGCAAGAGTCGTGGATGCACACTGTTGGTGAGTCCCATATCAGGACGAAACGGCCGTCTTTCAGTGCTTCCAGGTTTCTAATGGTGGTCTAACAATGATTGATTGATGATTTCAAATATTACCATATTATCAATTCAATATAATATATATACCCTAGGGTTTTATGCAACCTTTCTTTAAACACAATTTAGATGGCAGAGTTAGTGATATTACCCCAGAATCTGACAATAATCTGTGGAACAAGAGTCGGACTCTGTGGTTGAGAGAGCAGCGGCTCACTGATTAACGAATCTGACTAAGTCGAAAAAATCGAACCCTGCTTTACTTAAATTAGTTTGGATAGTCAGGTAGTATTAAGAAAATCTCACATTCAGAACCTGGCTAGAAGACAGATCCACAAGCCTGTTAACTAGTCAATAAGTTAGAAATTAAACAGCAAAGCCATAGCTTAGTTATTGGCTAAGCTAAATCATAATAAATAGTATGACCTAACAGTGTTAGTTATAGACTTTTTTGATAATCGACTATTATAATTGAAAGTATGCTTTTGTTTTATTTTTTTTCTTTTTAATCATTTCTGATAAAGTGAAACATTTTGATCATATTTGAAAAAAGAAAGCACATCTATAAACATAATTTTCCTATTCTTATCATCAAAATATCAAATATCTTCCTACTAATACAGTGATTACTGTAAAACACAACAAAAACAATGGATAATTCTGATATGACAATAATACCAAATATTAATGAACAAAATTTGAAAGAACCATTATATAAAAATTATATTTTTGTATTTATGATTGTCGGTTTAATCACAATGATCCCATTGATTATAATCAATATAGCAGTCATGATGAAAAAACGACTATCACGTATATGTCGTTTATTATTATTGTGTGTCTGTTTATCACTTGGTTCATGTGTCGGTGCATTGGCATTCACACATTATGCATTAGGACCAATCGATGTAACCTTAACTAAAGGTGATCAAATATTGATTGGTGAGTCAACAAATGGATTTCTAATGAATATACATGAATTACGTTCATGGACTTGTAATCATTTAGAAATTAAATCAAATAAATTAAAAATTCGTATTTGGGCAACACCTATATCACCACATTATGGACCAGCACAAAACTACAGTTTAGTCATACGTAATTGGACTTTACCAACATTTACTCATCTTCGATTGAATCATGGTGATTCAATTTATGTACACAATTTTTCACAACCAACACAAATAATTATTCTTAAAGGTGAAGAATCTATGCAACGTTGGATTAATACTGGTTCATATAAAAAAGGTTATGAAAAATGTTGTTCATGGTATATATTACAAACAAATCTAGAGCATAGACAACATATAACCATTGAACATAATGATATTTATACTTTCATAGTAAGAACATTTACAATGTCAACCAATACTACTACTTCATCGTATTTCAATGAACAATCAATAATAGAAAGTGGATATATTGATTTATTTCGTACACGTTGGGCACCTAATCCATGTGATCCAATTATTTGTGATGGTACAACAACAACTCAATGTAAAATAACATCATCACCAAAAAGTTACATCATTGATTATACCGTTGAAACAATGACAGCGCCTAATTTCGATTATGCGAATGTACAGATTATCTGTTATCCACGTCATTGGTTATTGGGGATTATGTTTAGTTTACCAATTATAGTAATTATAAGTCTTTTATTAATAATACATGCATGTATTAAAAAACGGAAGAAACAATTTACATTCTCTGATACAAATATTCAACAAACATCACCATTTACTAATTTTAATGTTAAACAAATCAATGGGAAATATACAACATCCAATGAAAATCATAATCCTGCATTTGAATTTGATTTAGTGTAAAAAAACACAACAAACTTACCGGTAATAATTGATTTGTGTTACAAAACTTTGTGGTTGTGGCTGTTGTTGTTGTAACTGTCGATGATGAGGATGATGAGGACGATGTTACAGTTGATGCTTTTACATTTTTATTACCATAATGAAGTGCTTCCACTAATGATAATTGTAAATCATTAGCATAATTATGCAATTTTTCATCTAAATAATCACATAATTTCATTCCAAAACCTTCTAAAATTTTACATTCTTTTCCACTTTGTAATAATAATGGATATTTTTTAAGTGAAGAAAGAGCCTAAGAGAAAAAAAAAAGATAGTTGATAAATCAAAATAACATAAACTTACTTTTCTGTAAGCATAGTAAGATTTAGCATCTTTGATAAATGCTTTTTCCATAGCTTCAGTTATCCAATATTGAAATAAAATATTTGGTCCACCACCAACGGGTTTTTTCTTTTCTCGACTATAAATATGAAGTTCTTTGCGTTAAAATCAGACTTTTTGGTTTTAAATTTAAGATTAAGAAGAATAGATTTAAGTATTGGTAATTAAGAAAATAGAAAAAATAACCGGATGAGATTGTCAGTCAGTTACAACGTAGAACTACGTGAGTACGTACATTAGTTTAAGTTGCCATATCACATTAGCACAGAGACGCCATTGTCAGTTCAAATCCCATAGTGGTAGAGATAGTAGAAGTGTTAGCGGTAATGGAGATTAGGGTTCTAGAATATTTTTCAAGAAGTATAGTTCAGTGAGATATCTTTAGAAGGAGAAAGATAAATTTGATAAGGAAATCAGAATTTTAGAGAACACAACGACTGGATGCACCTGTACCACCGTAAACAATTTTGAGTCAAGTTGTTCAAGGTCTCTAACCATCGGTTACGATTGTCTCGCGGACCCCAACCAGGTAGTCTACATATACCAATATGACTTATTCCACTTGTCAGTGACTTCATTGATTTGTGTCATGTTTCGGTTTGGCCGCCCCTAGCCAATGAGATTGTGTAAACTTTGATATTAAAAAAGGTACACTGGTCAGTTGACTGATCTCATCCTGAAACAAACTGGTTAGAGTTACTGAGTAAGCTTTATCAGTCAGTCGAACACAACAGAGAACGTAGTTAATGCGCATATCAGTTTAAGTTGCTATAGTCTATTAGGACAGTGATATGAAGTTGTCAGGACGAACACTAGAGTAGTAGAGATGGGTAACAACATCAGTGTTAAAGGAAAGGATTAGGGATCGAAGATATAATTCGAGAGAATAAAAATTAGTTGAACAAAATTATCAGGAGATTGAAAACCTAAGAACGGAATAAAGGAAAAGAGTGAGTGCACCTGAACTATTGAGCTATGTCATTCAAAGTCGTTAAGCATTAATTACAATGATCACAGGGACACAAACCAAGTTGTCTACACATACCTTCGTAGCTGCTTTTTTTAAAGTCTATGAAAAAGTTAAATAAGAGTGAGGAAAGCTCGAGGAATACAATAATGGTCAAGAGTCGATAAGTACAACTGATGTTTCAAAACTGGCAAATATTTAGTTTACACATTAATGCCTAAATCTGAAACTAGCCTAATTTTCCCGGTTACTCATCAATCTAATCGCAGAAATCAGAGAAGGGGACAAGGATTAGAAAAAACAATTTTTATAAATTTCTTAAAATATAAATGAACATTTAAAGTAAATCACCTTCATAGGAATGTATAGATGAAGCCAAAATATAAAATATGTTAATCTATTATAAAATTAGACTTGGAAAAAATGCACAATAGCACAATACACTTCATGAGCACAGTGAGAAAATAAAAACACAACAAACAAGTTCAATTCATAGTAGTATTGATAATATTAACGCAAAAAGAACATCTATTTAGGGATCCAAAATGAATGAAACGTAAAAGTTAAAGCGCGAAGTAGCAACGAAACTTAAGTTTTAGGGAAAAATACAATGAATACATTTGTGCTACCGTTACCAACGGTCCCCGACCACTAATCCCGATTATCGTAGACTTTATTATGCGATTTGAACCACTTCAAACGGTTCAACATAACCACAAAATACTTGGTGTAATAATATATGTTGATTTAGCTGTGCACAAACGAACATAAGATGCGGAAGGTCTCGGAATATTTTAAGTATAATGCAAGGTGTAAAGCAACGCAAACATTGAGATATTTGTCAGTGTATTCTGTATTTGTTCCAGCGAAATCCAAGTATTGACAACTATTAGCTAGTTAGTTTTGAGATGGTGGAGAAAGTTTGTAGCTCGAGTGAATGATTGTGATGGAATTCCGTTTTCAGAGCTGGACGTTTTGGTTGTTGAGCTTTTATTGTTCTTCTGAACAAAATCATCAGCACAAACCTCAGGTTCCAAGTATGCTCAAAATTGATTGACTCACGTGAGTCACAGGAAAAAGGACTTAATACAAAGAGGTCTATCAAGAATATATCATATTATTTCTCGAACACTTTTCTACAAAACTAAGAGCTTACAACTACCTATTTTTCAGGTTTTATTTTAAGATAATCATACTAATTCCTTACAATGTAGACGCTATTAACACTTTCGTGTCGAGTATTTGTTAACAAAGGATAAAATTTCAAATAGTAAACCCATTAGAAGACAAGAATTATGTTTCTCAATTCAGTCCATTGTAAGAATTCAGCTTTCTTGTGGACGTAAAAGCTCACAATGGATAATCTTTTACATGACGACTTATTGCGGGTGTAGCTCGAAGGATAGAGAGGCAGGCGTAAATCGGATAGAAGTAGACCATTTAGAGAAATTATGATACATTTACTGCTCAGAAAACATTCAGTGTAAATCTTTCCCCACTTCATGTTAGAAGTAAATAACCAAATATTGTCATATTTACTTTATTCACCGAATTTTCAGATAAACGTTACTAGTTTTTTATCATTACTTATAACGTATTTACAAAATTAAAATCTGCAGACAAATCTGTTGTGATATTGAAGAGGACATGAAGGGACACATTTAAGAATGAACCATCTACAAAACATATATTAGAAATGTGAACTGGCTTGAGGAGTTACTATGAGGGTTTTGGGGTAGAAGCATAAGGTGAAAGGTGAATATATCAAGAACAAACATAAGCTATACTGCCTGGAAGCAATGAAAGTAGTTAAACGGATACATTTCGCGCAAGTGTTTTCACTGTAAGTGAGTAGTCCATACAATATAGTACCAATGATGTGAGCTGAACACAATTCGATTTAAGTGATACATACTTTATTAGTGAACCCATTCGACTGAGGTGTTGAAAAACACAATCACCTCAAATCATGTACAATTTCTGAAATTGCGACGACTGAACCAGACCTTGAACAACCTCGTTTTGAACTATTAAAACAAGTCGAATTGTGAAACCAGACAAAAAGGTTGAAAGGGGACTTAAACTTTTCGGGGGAACTTAATTATAGTTATTTATATTAACTCGCAAGCACTGTTCAAGTTTTCAACGTTTCGGTTTCATATAGGAGGCTTGCCTTTATATTTTATAAGAATATAGCTACCTGATAGTATGAGTGTTTCTATTGGTGTCATTAAACTTATTATTTTACTGTAATTATAAACTGTAGTAGCCCTCAAGAATAATGGTTTGTTCCTCAGTTTTCCGCAAGAAAATCAATCACACTTATTCTATATTTTGACTATTGTTTTTTCTGACTTTGAGTGTTGTAGAGGACAGACCAAAAAATGAAGCGAACATCTAAATCTCGTCTACTACACAAATTTGTTTGAGAATACCAAAATGTAAGTGTTCTGATGCTAAATTTAATCTTGTCTTGTATTAACTGAACAATTTCTAGTACAGAACAAATTACAGTGACAGGGATTTGTGATAATACATGGAATGCAACTGGTAGATGCAGCAACTTTAATAACATCGTCATTTTTAAGTTAAATTAAAACCATCGTCACTTGTTCGGAAAACGTTGATGAAGAAGATCTTTGTAGAAAGTTTACTGTCCAGTACCCCACTTCTTACGTAGCAAGATTTTCGTTACCCAGCCGTGTTGCAGTTAGTTGTCGTGACGGAGTTGTTATTAACTTTGGCAGTCGTTTATGTCTCTGGGTTTCAGATCAAAAACTGAGGTTTGGACTGAGGAATAACTCTAGAGGGAGTTTAGACAAGCGTCTTTCACAGTTGAAATTCCAAAACACATGATTTCGGTATACAACGGTTCTAATATTCATCCTAAACATAAATATACATCATTACTTAAATAATAATGCCACGGTTATTTCTTCAACTATTCAAATAAATAGTGTCCTATCCTTCTTATAACAGTGTTTGCGATTCTGGAAGAGTGATCCAACTCACAATCAAAATGCACACTTCCAGTCAGTGCAACCGATCCAACCAACACAGTAACAAATCGGTATGGCTGTCACCATTACTAAGTATTAGCTTAAACAAAATAATGCAGTCCAGAAAGAAAAAATGTATGCATAGAGTGAGTTTTACCAACAAAGCCTTCAAAATGGATGTTACATCTATTATTTACTAATTACATGGTGACGAAAATTCACTAGCCTTATGATTCTGCTGTTCGCTTCGTTTTGCCTAACGGAAGGTTCGAGGAGAAATCGAAACCACATTTATACTTACTATTAAAGCAATATCGGACAAAGATATCAAGAAATGCCGAGTAAGATTCGCGGCTGCTGAAGTCAAATCATTATCGGTTACGGTGGAATATTGACTAATGAGTTCGATCAAAGTTTTGAAGTCGATTTGATCGAGCATCAAATAAATGTAACAAAAACTCATCTAAACACATATAATGATTTTAAGAACAATGTAAAATCCATACGACTTTATAATCGTTTTGGAGTACAAGATCTGTATGGGTATTCTGGTCAGCGTGTGCTCATCTTTGCGTTTAATGCTAAGGCCCCGTATGTGTATCAGTAGATTATGTTTTTGATTATTTGTCTGCCATTCTGTTTGACCTATTCCACTACACTTATGAACTAAAAATATTTGTGAATAATGCGCACTGCTAACTTCAGAATACCACGAATATTCAGAGCCTAGTTACGCTATCGTCCATACCACCTATCTGGTGAAGAATATCAAGACCCAGTCAAACCAGATGTCAGAGGGTATATTTGAAAAAGAGGCTGGAATGTCGAATGAGTGATCCTGGCTTGCCAGTTTGAAGTGTTCGCGAACTCTATAAAACTTATTGAAAGAGTTAAATGTCACTAACTGCATCGTATTCCAGGGAGATAGGTATGCCACGGGATGCAGTAAATCATGATTGTCAACGTATCTCAGCAATCTGACCATTCACCATGCTAGATGTTCTGTATACGCCTGAAACTTTTAGTCAACTGATATTTGGACAGAAACCACCTGACAAAAGCTGAATCTACGTCCCTGTTCACCAGTCTCGTAGGAAATCATCCTTAGAGCGCAATGGATCGGTTGAGAGTGATGAATCAGACTTAAAAACAAGGATCGTGAATAGGTTACTAATCACAGGTGTATTAGCCAAATAAAATGGACTCGAATCTTGATACGAAGTTGGATAGATAACCTCTCATTCACTTCAGCAGTTCATTTGAAGATGCATCACACTTTATATCCTACCTTAGTCTAATCTATAGCTACTGTCCATTCATGGTCATGAAAATAAATAAGTTGATCATCATTACCGAAGATTGTATTCAACTCACTCAGCAAATCGTTGTTACTGATTTAAATTGAGACAAATTATGGGACCGAATACCGTTGCTTATTTTTTAATCCTCTTCCTACGGATTTTATGTACCTGGTCTTTCAAATATCATCTGTACTGAACCTAACTATCTATTTCTAATCTCCGAAAAATCACCGACATACCAACGATTATGATTATTATTATACACAGAGTAGAAAAATATTGGATTATATACACATTTGTACTAGCAATACTGCATACCTACCAACCACATAGAGAGAGAGAGAGCAAGCATCTTTACCTGTTCTCCAGACAAAACATAATTTTGAATTCAATACAAGAAAAAAAATCAATAAAAACTCTGTGTGTGTGTGTGTGAGAGAGAGATTTGCATTTTATCATAATACTGAAAAGTTATTATTATCATGATCATGATCATTTTTTTTTTCGCAAGATCAACCACAAATAAAATAGATCAGAAAAAATTTTGCGTGATAATTACTTGCTAATATACATTGAAATTATAGAACATTATTTTTTTGTTAGAAAAGAAAAAAAGAAATAATAAGTATAAAAATTACAAATAGGGAATTTTAAATTATCATTATTATTATCATGATCATAAGAAAAAATTGACTGTTGTTTAAAAAAATAATAATCAGTGAAGTTAAAAAAAATAAAACAAATCAATGAGGTAACAACACATGATGCAATCAAAACGCAATACAATTAACATAATACACACACACACACAAAAGTTAGTTAGTCAGTTGATAATCTATCTATAGAATGGAAAGTAAGACGGTTTGAACTAAGACAAATATATGAGTTCGTATGTTTGGTCTCAGCTCATTTTGATGTTTAATTATAGTATAGTATAGTATAGTATACACACACACAACACGCACATAAATATAAATATAAATATATAAATATATATCAACTAGAAATGAATTTATCAACTTTGTACTCCTACAAAAAGAAACAAAGCAAAATAAAAAGAAAATGTAGACATTCTCTTTGTTATATGAAAAGTAAACAATTAGTGAATGGTGTAACTTATTAATTAGAAAATATAATTAGAAATGATGACCTTGAATTAATTAATTCATTAATTAATTATGATTCGTTTTTTGATTATTATTATTATTATTATTATTATTATTAGTAGTAGTAGTAGTACTGAGATAACTAAATAAGTAATGCATAAATTTTATTAAAGAGAAGTTTTTATTATTTTGCTTAAGAATTATTTCTATTATGATTGTGAGACCCTTGTGAACGACATGGCTTAGAATTGCTTACAATCGCGTTGGTGCATCCAGTCTTTGTGTTCTATGAAATTCTAACCTTCTGCATTCCTCATAATCTTTACCTTTCTCTTTCTAAATTTATCTTACTGAATTATACCTCTTGAATCATATCTTCAAGATACAACTGTTTATTAACAGTTGTCTACGCAAAATACTTCGTATTCGTTGGCCAGACACCATCAGCAACAACGTACTGTGGGAGAAAACAAACCAGATTCCAGTGGATGAGGAAATCAGGAAGAAGTGGTGGAAGTGGATAGGACACACACTACGAAATGCACCAAACTGCGTCACAAGACAAGCCCTCACATGGAACCCTCAAGGCAAAAGGAAAAGAGGAAGTCCAAGGAACACATTACGCCGAGAAATAGAGAAAGATATGAGAGGAATGAACAAACATTGGACAGAACTGGAGAGGGAAGCCCAGGACAGAGTTGGTTGGCGAGAACTGGTGAGCGGCCTATACTCCATTGGGGGTAACAGGCGTAAGTAAGTAAGTAAGTAATCATATCTTTGCTCCCTAATCTTCTCCTCTACTGCTAATACTTCTATGATTGCTGTCACTGTTGGAACTGATGAACTGACAGTTGCGTCTCTGTGCTGATGTGGTATGGCAACCTGAACTGGTGTACGTACTTACGTACGAAGTTCTACGGTGCAGCTGTCTGTCTGTCTATTATGATTGTAATTTGGTAAATAGTGAAGGTGCCGTTGTGGTTGACAATTAGTCAAATGCGTGAGATGAAAAAATACAAGAAAGTCAGTGGATATAATGTAGACAGGAGTTATTAATAAGTTTGGTTTAATCTACAAACACAACACAGAGTTCGAATTCATACCAGTTTAGTTTAATATATATATATATATATATATATATATATATATATATATATGTATAAACAATCATATGGTACTCAGTGAATGAGCCTGATTGGCTGTTTACATTTCAAAGCAATTATAAGACTAACTAGGCCGATCTCACGATACCATACTAGAAACACTAATGATGAATATTGACATTTTTGGAAATTGAACAATCAGGTGTTTTAAAAAATAGCGACACGTAAGTTATGTATTAAACTCTCTTAAAGAGAACTAAACAAAAGTGTGACATAAGTTCATGAATCGAAAGATAATCTATCAAGAACCATGTTAGCAGGTATAGAATACTTTGTTAGGGTGTGGAAGATTCTCGTGTAGTTTGGAAGAGATGTCGTGTAAAATTGAAACAAAATTAGTCACAATAGGATAGGTGTATTCAAATTATGCCTTCCTTTAGATTCTGAGATTTACAACTATTGTAAATTTTACTTGATAAGTTTATTTTATGTTCTTAAGCCTTAATATTATATGACTAAAAGTTTTTGCTACTAATGATGCTACAATTCTTCTTATTGGCATTCACGTCGGATCATTGTGTTGGTGTGATGTCAAGTTTTGTAGGCTGTTGTCGTTAGGAATCGAGTACTAAGTAGGTATGGATGGAAGATCAATAGATGAAGTTGTGAAACTTTATCGGTTGACGTTCGTTGGAACATATGTTACGTATGCCTAACCACCGACTTCTGCGACGAACTACGTTTTGTGGTATAGGAGTAAGTTTGAAGAAAGCTAGGGGCGGCCAGACCAAAACATGGCAGAAATCCATGAAGTCATTGACTAGTGGACTGAGCCATGTTGCTAGATGTAGACTACCTGGTTGGGGTCCGCGAGACAATAGTAACCGATGGTTAGAGGCCTTGAACGACATGGCTCGAAATCGTCTGAAATGGCGCAGGTGCATCCAGTTTTTGTGTTCTCTAAAATTCTAACCTTATGAATTCCTCATCATCTCTATCTTTCTTTTTCTTAACTTATCTCACTGAATTAAACTTCTTGAATAAAACCTTCGAACCCTAATCTTCTCCATTACCGCTAATAATTCTACTATCGCTATCACTCTTGTATTTGAACTGACAGTTGCGTCTCTGTGTTAATGCGGTATAGCAACCTGTACACATGTATGAAGTTCTACGTTGTAACTGACTGACTGAATGATGTCACATTTTTATGATATGAATACTTGGAACTTACCTCAATATTATCTGAATCTGTATCACTTTCAGTGCTTATTTCATCATTATTCATATCGACGTCACCCAGATAAGCTGAAAGTGTAGTTGTGATAGACAGTTAGACAGATAGAATAATAAGTTAATCAAGTGTTAAAGTAAATTGAAAAAAACTTTATGCAACTGGTTCTGTTTATGCAACATTGTTACGTTCGTCACTAGGTATGTTTGAAGCTATTACGAGTACACCTTAGTCGATAAACGCGAACGAGACAATGAACCAGCGTCCAGGTAGGCTACCTTAATCCAAAAACGGAAAAACAGTAGTCTTGGTCAGCGTAGAAAGCATATTCTACAAACACCCAGCAATCACAATACAATCAAGCACACAACTCTCGTTTATTTATACAACATATAAACGTCCTTAGGACAGTCACAAAAATAGTACACTAAAATACATAGCATCCAATCACGGTCATGGATTTTCCTGGTGAGAGGGAAATGAAATCTCAAGGTCAACTAATCAGCCCATGTTCGCAAACGTGAAATCGAAGATAAGGCATTTATTTATCAAATGAGTTCTGGGGATCTAACATCCCCAACAAACATAAATAAAAAAAACAAGAAGGAGATTGTTCACAGTGTAAAAATGAATTGAGTGTTGCTATGTTCCTTTTTCTTTAGCGACATAAAAAACCAGTAAATATAAATAAAATATACAATAACTTTCGATAAAATATAACCATGGAAGAAAATGAAAGAAATTTACAAAGTCCTCTTTTATAAGTTAGTCTGACTTCCATCTAGAAACCATCCTAAAAGAAGAGATTCGTTTTTATATGACTCGCAACCAGTTTTCTTTGTGACCGTTTATAAAGTAATTGATGGCTCCTTAGTCGACTCTGCACTGTTTCAGAGTTACATGTGTGGACCCTAGTTGTCGGGTCAACAAAGTGAACCTTCGGACTACAGTAATTTATGAAAATATATGCAAACTTTGTATTTTCTCAAGACGTCTATGTAGATAATGATATCAGATAGGATATATTCCTGAATAATTAGAACAAACATTCCTGCTAGGCTATCCGACATTTTTCCTGAATATTCATCTTTCAGTCAGTCAGATGCAACATAGAACTTGGTACACAAGTACATCAGTTCATGTTGCCATACTACATCAGCACAGAGATGTAATTGTCAATTCAAATCCAATAGTAGTAGAGGTAGTAAAGGTATTAGAAGTAATCGAAGAGGTTAGGATTAGAAGATATTATTCAAGAAGTATGATTCAGTGAGAAAAGTTTAGAAAGTCAAAACTTGAGGAGTTGAAGAATTCAGAAGATTAGGATTTGAGAGAACACAAAGAATAAATGCACCGGCGCCATTGCAAACGGTGTCGAGCCATGTCATTCAGGGTATCTAACCATCGATTATTATCATCTCGCGGACCCCAACCAGGTAGTCGACAACTTTCAAATCTACCTCATATACGACAAACCTAATATAATTAGATGAATGGACTACTTAGCCAGTCCATTTTTACTTCGTTTCATTGATTATATTTACGCTTGAGTACTATTGCCCCGACAATTTTTAATCAACTAACAACTACAATGGAAGTTACCATCTTTCATTGGTAATGATTCAGAGGAAACATCAATGGCGTCTTTGTACTATTGTATACCACATACTTCAGAAACTTCTGTCATAAGTGATGTAGCAGACATTAGGCTGCCGAAATCTAATGCGCCACTAACACAGAATCGTATATCTCATTATCAACTGAGAACAGGTGAAAAAGTAGATATTTTTCTTATCGACCTTCGTATACAGCATCCATTTTTTGTATTCTCCCAAATTCTAATCTAAACCCCTCATAACCTTCAATCTTTCTCGTCCCAAATCTATTTTACTGGATTAGACTTCTTGAATAATATATATATTTGGACTGTGATCTTTCTGATTGATGCTTATACTTGTACTACCTCTACCACCTATTGGATTTAAATTAACAATCGCATCTCTGACAACTTGAACTGATAAACGTACGTACGTACGTACGAAGCTCTGCGTTGTGACTAACTGACTACGACTAAATTCCAGTATTTATCCTGCGTTGCCACAAGTTTATGGTCAACTTGTATCCACAATCACACATGCTTGTTTCCCTTAACAATCTAAAGTATATTATAAGTCATTATGAAATTGAGGTTAGTATCATCAAAATTTTTCGAATACGCGCCGTGACCTAGGTACTTTTTTTTAGTTTATTTATCACTGATTTACCTTTTTAATTGGAGTTTATCATTAAAACTAACTAAATTTAAACATATTTCGTTTGTAATGCGAATAACATTATGAATAAACGTTTGCACCAAGTTTTCACAATAACTGTTTGACGTGGAAGTTTTAGGATTATCTAAGGCATATTTTATTTTATTTTTTTATCAAGCAGTACATATTACGAAAAGTAAGATGATTTCTAAAGAAAAGGACACATAACTTAAACTTATTAGATGATAATTACAAATTAGCTGAAGAGAAAACAGGTCAGAAAAGAAAAATGATCTCAGTTGGCGTTTGTTGTTGTAAAGGAGAAGGTGAAGGTTAACCACTAATTAGTTTTAGATAAACAAAAAAAAGCATTTAATCAATATGTCTATGAGTTGTAATAAGTAATTGGGCTGTTAATTGATCACTTTCAATGAATTTATCTATTGCTTCCAAGTTATGTTACGTGTGTCAGAGGATTTTTGTGCTCTTGAATTAAGAAGAACGTTTATTTTTACTAATGGAGGAATAAGCTTAATAAAACAACTTATTCTTTCTTGACTGATAGATAATTGAATGCTTCAAATTTAAAATAACTATACTTATCAATTTGTGTGTAGTTGAACATAAAACATGATAATGAAATGGCATTTAACGTATTTTACAATTAATGTTGCCGCTTTGAACAGAAGTAGTTCTACTGGTAAGCTTAGTAGATTGAAGATGTTTTCCATTACATGAGTTTTAGGCTCATGCAACAATAAGACACTTGAATGTTTGAACAGAGGTTCGAAATTATGCATGCTTTAAACTATCGAGTTTTATAATTATTTTTTGTTAAAATTGGTAAGGATGTTGTGTAAGCAGGTTGAGGAAAATTCAAATTTTATGGTGAGATTAACCATACATCGTGTTAGCGACGTTAGATCTTCATAAATCGCTTGAAAAATATCATTATTTTGGATTTTATTCATGGGCTGATCAGTTGACCTTGAGATCACATTTCACACCAGGAAAATCTTTGGCTGTGATTGGTTACTGTGTCATTTTAGTGTGCTATTTTTGTGACTGTCCCAAGGACGTCTCAATAGAGTATAAATAAACGCAATTTGTGTACTTGAGTTCATTGTGTGCTGGTTCGGTGTTTGTAGAATGCACATTCTACCCTATATCAAGACTTTTCTGTCAGTTAGTTTGGCGCAATGGATCAGAGTAACCTACCGTGTTACTGGTTCATTGTCTGTTCTTGTTTATCGACTAAGGTGAACTGGTAATAGTTTCAAGCATATCAATCTGACGAGCATATAACACTTCGATTGGTTACTTTTTCTTTTAATTTAAAGTTGATCGTAGCTGTGTACAGTCAATCAGTCAGCCCAGGGGACAACTGCTTCAGGCCAGTTACGCACGGCCTTTTTATGAAAGGTTTTTTGAGTGTTAGCTCCGCTCTTGAAAGCCCTTAGTGGGCACCCTTACTGATGGAGACGCAAATCCGTGAGGTAGGGTGAGGTGTGACATTTTGAGGGTCGACGTTTTCTAACCCTTCCTTCCTTGTGAGAAGGCAGCATCGCTGCAGATGCTGCTTGTTTTCCGAGGGAAACACCTTACTGCTGTCACATCCCTCTGCAGTCAGCAGTACGACTTCGCCCTCAGACCGTGAGTAGCTGCTTTTAGTCTCATCGTTCTCCAATCGACCAGCCTGGCATGTTAGAACCTTCAGGAACATAAGTTCCAGCCAATATAGCTCGGTTGGGTCATCACGACAGGTAAGCCCGACCACCACATCAAGGTAGCAGCTTCGGTCGGGCTAGCTGTGTAGAAAAAATTAACTGTACCAGATCTTTTTTAAAAACAATAAAAAATGGTCTTGTCAAGGGTTGCGTTCACTATGTTTTTTTGTCTTGTAATGTTATATGCGTAGAAGCATCTTAGTGGATGCTAAAATAAATGTAGAATTTCATGCCAGTTTGTAAACAGGTTACAAGTTCATAATATACTTTAAAAATATAAACAAAAGTTTACTTCCCAGATTTTAGCTGAGTTATAGAAATTATACAATACTTACTTGTCATCTTCAAGTTCTATAATATTTCAGGAAAGTATTATTATTAATAATAATAATTCATAATACTTAACTAATTAGACTATGCTATGAACTAAGACTGTTTTTTTTAAAAAAATAAATTGATGAGTGTATAAATCAAGTAAGTAAGTAGATGAGATGAAGTGATACGAAGAACTAGACTGATCAACTATTCATGTGATGATACAATTTATTGAATGAAGTTGACCCTGAACTAAAATGACAGTTGCACAGAAGAATAAACTTTCTACATAATTTTATCAAATTTTACATTGCGGGGTTGTTGTGAAGATTGTTAAGTTTTATTTGTAACCATGAATCGATCAATGTTGGACCACCATTAGAAACCTGGAAGCACTGGACGGCCGTTTCGTCCTGTTATGGGACTCATCAGCACTGCTCATCCACGACTCCTGCACCCCGCAGGATTCGAACCCAGGACCTTCGGTATTGTGCGCGAACGCCCTAACCAATAGACCACTGAGCCGGTATCTAACGGTGTTAATGTCTAACTTGATCAAATTCACGGAGTTGCGCAACCTCATACACTGTATACATCCGAACAGGTTTGAACTTCACCAGTCACGACTTCCCACTAGAACTCGGAGAAGATTCCTCACCAAGCTAGTCACTAGTGAACACATGTAATTGGATTGCGGGGTTGTTGTGAAGATTGTTAAGTTTTACCTGCTGATGAGTCCCATATCAGGACGAAACGGCCATTCAGTGCTTCCAGGTTTCTAATGGTGGTCTAACATTGATCGATTCATGGTTACAAATTTTAAAGTCGTTCGAATATATATATATATATATATATATATATATATATATATACAGAAGCTTATGAGTTTACACGTTGAAACCAACTAGCTACTTGTGTGAAGAAACCGACAGTGAGCAGGAAGCTATTGCTAACTAACGGAATCGAGAATATATATATATATATATATATATATATATATATAAGTATCCATAGAGAAATTAATTATTATGACAACAATAACTTACTTGGCATAAAGGTACCATTGTCCTCCACTGTACCAACATCAACTGTACTATCTAATTGACTGTTCATTGAACAAGACGACGAATCAACAGATTGTTGTTGTTGTGGTTGCTGTTGTTGTTGTTGATCATCAGAACTGACTAAACTGTTTCTTCCAGTCGATAAATCTGTATGACACAATGAACAAACACGTACACGTGATGAACCTTGATACGGAAGGATACAACGATAAGCGGAGCATTTATCACAAACAACTTTGCCACAATGTCGGCAATGATGCTAAAAAAAAGAAGAAATAAGAATAAGAAACAATAGATAAACAAAGTAAGCTGATAATAATTAATGCAATGGAATAATCTAATTGTACAGTTGTGTAATGTTTATATTTTTATAACCTAGAATTTTTTTTGAAAGCAAGAGCTATAAATATTATTGAAGGAATGTGACTTATTTAATAAAAAGAACAAGGTTATTTACTCAATTTCTAACTGCATAGATTTTGTTAGAATTGATAGATAACTGAGCAGTTAGTTACCAGTGACATATTTAAATCCGCCTGTAGGCCCTTCGGGGCTACTGTAGGTTCCAAGCCTGGATAAACGAGGAGGGTTGGGATTGGGGTTGGCGACCGTATCCTGCAAAAAGCTAACTCGCTAAAAAACGCTAATAAGAAACAGTAATTCAAACCATTTAAACTCTTTATTTAGAAGAGTTATGACGTCGTCTCATGATGAAAGCCAAGTTCCTTCAGAAGTTATCAGGCCGATGCCCGTTCTGACAGCCAGAACCTTTCCACAGTGTGGGCAGCCGGATAGTAACATCCACCTTCACACCCATAAGAGCACATGGGTGACATATTTATCCAATCTTTTTTTCTGCTGATAGAATTCACTCAGTGAAGACGGATTTTGGTTACGAGTCTAAGTAACTCAACATCACGCCCACCTGTGTTGAGATTCAAACTGGTGGTTGGAAGTGGTTGACAGGATACGCTGAACCTAAGTTTCAAGTTATTTACTATTACCTAGTATCTCAAATCAAAGTAAATGAAGTAGGAAATGAACTTTGGATTAAACGACTGAAAATTCAGTGTTTTAATCAAGGTCTTTGTGATATGATTCGATGAGAAAGTACGTTAATCTACTTTATTGAATAAATTGTTATAATTTCGACTTGAATCATAGTGATAATATGATAGAATAGGTTACACATTTTACAAGACTACACAGTGTTATCAATATGATAATTAGCTAAGAAAAAGTAGAATATTTCTACAGACGGTAGGATCAATAGACGAACTGAGACAAATTTTCAGCTAGTTTTCAAACAATGAAAAAACACCCTGTGTTAATATGAAGCAGTAATATTATATAGTGTAAACAGACTTCACATATTTATTGAGTCTATTTAATGTTTTCGACAGGTTCAATTGTCAGCAAATTGACGGAATTACACAAAAATAAATTTGTCATTATAAACGTAGATTATTTGTCTTTCTGCATCTGTATAAAGGCTCATATAGATTTTTGAAAGATTACACTTTGTTTCTAGGTAGAGTTAAATATTTATGGTAAAGATAAGAGGTTTACAGTTAGAACTTTCATCATGAACTGATATCAAACAGAAAAGCGAAAATTTTCCGTAGCCAAACACAAGGATGAATTTTGTGCAAACACATAAAGAGGGGGCGTTTCTGACTAGCTATTCTACAACATCGAACGTTATTAGGTTAAAGATTATTTCGGGGATAAGTGTTGGAAGTTAGTGTTTAAGATCAGTTTCTATTCGTCTGTTATAAACGTTGAAAACTGTCTTTTGATTTTATTGCTGGCACAAAGCAATTTTTTTCGCTATCAGTTTAAAGGTTTTAAGCGATATAAAATAGTATTTCTAATATTCTTTATATGTGGTATTTAAATGTCATACAAAAACTAGAGAGTCACGTTTGTAATCTTGTTTGGTATGTCTTTTTTCGATATTTGTACCACTTTTCTGAGCAATAAAACTCAACTCGATCTGTTTCACATGCTGTGGAAACTAAGATGTTGTGGACAGTTTATATATGATTACTTTTCATGACATATAGGTAGAAAAAATAGATTATAAGAGAGAAGTACTCTACATAGATGTGACGTTATTTAAGATTCACAAAAAGAGTGTTTTTTGAATTTTTCGCATTACCTATGACTGATCTTTCATTTACGAAATTATCTCTATACTCTCATCAGTCATCTCTTAAAAATATTCGTATACATGTATGAATGACTCCTTTAGTTCTTCAATATTTATGTCAACGGAAACATTTTAATCAAGAATTTCATGGTGTGAAGTAAGCCCATTATTCGTGTAACGGAAGTGAAAGTAAACAGTGATGATGATTGATGTTTCTAGACGAAAATGTAGTCAACTGGATATCTGATTTGTCATTTTTATTTTGCTACCCTACAGTATAACGTTATAACACCTTACCTACATTTGAGTTTGTTTGCGTTTAACACTTGGTTAAACCTTTTAATTAACTTATTTAACAGACAGCATCATGTGAACAGAAAAAAGTTGTCTACACCTTTTGTGCTATTATTATCATCATTATTAACGTGTTTGTATGGATTTACATACATGCTTGAACACTGATTACAACTTACACAGATATTCATCTTACTAGCTTTAATGTTAGTTGTTTATATAATTCGGTAATTCATTCATATCCGGTTCGCATTCGATTCGTAATGCTCGCGCTCTTGTGATCGGTGTTGTGCAATAACAGTCGTCTTCTGAATTTTACATACCGTTGAATGTTATATAATAACGTTTATCAGAAAGAGCGAACTACGAAATTTTGAGAACTACAACGAATATAACCAGCCACAGTCTTATAGCATGTCCATGCTCTGAACTGATTCAACGTGATACACTACTGATCTGGGTATCTAATCAAGGGTGGAATTGTTCTACAATTCTATCTAAGAAGTAGAGCGCGCCATTCATGTAATCAAAGAGAACCTAACATTATTTCGCTATTTTCTTGTACAATAATTCTTGTAGAAATATAATTTCCACATTGTGAACAATCGAAGTAAATCCACGTAATAAATAAGACTCCCTAAATATTCTGCTACAATTCTTGCTTTATTAAAATACAATTGATGAGTTGTAGTTTCATTCCGCTAATGGAATATATTCTAACAAATTTGATTTAAGTCACCCTGACTGACCAGACAACAATATTAACAACACAGTAACATTTGACACACAAAAAACAAACAAACAAACAATGAATGTCATTATAACCATCATCAGTGATTATATTGTGGTGTGAGCTACTTATAAGTAGTATATGACGTGAGCGTCAATGTAATGTCTGGCAGCGGGAGATGGAGAAAGATCAAGAAAGGAAGAGTTAGAAAACACAATGGAATTTGTATGAAACGCATGAATAATGACAATGGATTGACGTTTGGCAACAGGAACAGTCCAGTTCGATATGATGATGAACTGATATTTTGCAAATGAACAATTTACGATATGGTTTTCCAATTTTACTGAGCAACTCTGTAATTTCGCTAAATACAATTCGTTTGCCCCACCTGAGTTCTCATTTACTACAATATTAGTGTAAATTAACTAGTATAGATAGATTTGAAACAAAAACGATACAACCTAATGTTGGGGATGTCAGATCCCCCGAAACTCGCTTCATAAATATCTTTATTTTGGATTTATTTCATGGACTGATCAGTTGACCTTGAGATCACATTTCACACCAGGAAAATCTTTGGCTGTGATTGGTTACTGTGTTATTTTAGTGTGCTATTTTGTGTGACTGTCCCAAGAACGTCTTTATGGAGTATAAATAAACGCGATTTGAGTGTTTGGATTCATTGTAGAATACATTTCCTGAGCTATATCAAGACTTCTTGCTGGTACAGTTGGGACAATCAGATCACAGTAGCCTACCTGGACGCTGGTTCATTGTTTTATTTTCGTTATTCGACTAAGATGAACTCGTAATAGTTTAAGCATACCTAGAAACGAGCCTAACACCTAACAGATACATAGATAGATGTTTGAAACTGATAGTTTATGTTAAATCAAATTAGTATCAGTAGAAGAGTGTAATCTCAATAAAAATTACAATATGATTGAATTTAATGATAGAATCTGAAATCTTTTCTCTATTTTTTTTTCTTTCAAATTAAAAGTCAAAGTATCAGAAATGTATTTTCCTTCGGTCAATCAGCTACAACGTCGAACTTTGTATGTATGTACGTCAGTTCAAGTTGTCATAAAACGACAGCACAGAGATGCAATTATTGATTCAAATCCCAAAGTAGTAGAGGTATTAGATGTATTAGCCGTTATGGAGAAGATTAGTGTTTCAAAGATATTATTCATTCAGTGAAATAAATTTAGAAATAGAAATATGGAGATGATGAGGAATTTAGAAGATTAGAATTTGAGAGAACACAAGGAGTGGATGCAGCTGCACCATTGTAAATAATTTTGAGCCATGTCATTAAAATTCTTTAACTATTGGTTACTTGCTAGAAATGTATTTTTAGTTAATTGCTTGTTATTTCTTATGCTAAATAAAAACTTGAAATAGATTAGTTTATTCTTTATAAACACATTTTGTGCTGACTCTTTTGACTATAAGTGCAATTTGGAAAGTTTTTGGTGAAGCGGAGTTTTCTGGTTAGCGTTTTTTTGGCAAGTGAGATTTCGACGGAATGGGGTCGCCAACCCCATGTCCAACCCTCCTCCTTTATCCGGGCTTGGGACCGGCAGTAGCCCCTAAGGTTCTACTGTCGGAGTTTCTAGAATTAACTAGATACTCCAAAATTGAACATTTGACCAACTTGTGTAAGTAATCCTTTATAAAGACAGGTAGGGAATATTTGGAGATGCATTTTCAAAAGAATTCGCTTTGTGCGGCCGAAACTATGTTCTTGCGTACTACTCAATAGGGGATTACAAGATTTAAGACATTCTCTTCTTACAATATCGACTTAATTTTAATGATATAGACATTTCTATTAACCATTCATTTTCTTCCGAAATGAAGTTTAGCTAGCAGTGGAATTTTTAAAATTTGTATTTCGTTGATTTTTCCCGCATGGTTTGAGTCCAATGACTTTTACTTCTATCACTTAATGTATCATTCACTCACTTGGGTAACGGGCATAAATTTTAATTTTATTTCTGCTACTTCTAGACTATCTTGTTGTTGATTTACTTCAGTAAAAAAGTATCAATAACGTGATACAATGGGCTAATCAAAAACCGTCAAACGTTGCTAGCGAAGAAATGATTACTACTTTTGTATTGATAACATTAACTATGAGTCAGTTAGTCAGTCAGTCAGCTACAACGTAGAACTTCGTACGTACGTACTTCAGTTCAAGTTGCCATAACACATTAGCACAGGGACTCAATTGTCACTTCAAATCCCATAGTGGTAGAGACAGTAGAAGCATTAGCAGTAAACGGAGAAATTAAGGTTCAAAGATATTATTCAAATAATATAATCCAGTGAGATAAATTTAGAAAGATAAAGGTGACAAGAAACTGAGATCAGAATTTGTGGGGAACACAAAGAGTGGATGCACCCACGCAATTACAAACGATTTTGAGCCATGCCAGTCGAGTTCTCTAACCATCGGTTACTAGTGTCTCGTGGAACCACCGTAAATTATTTGAATAGTAATTAAACAAACGTTTGTTATATATTTCGAAATTTATTGAGAGAAAATAAACAGCTTACATTAACTATGAGAAATGGAATAAAGGTCAGAGTTTCAGATATACTACTGTTGTATAAACAACTGTCTACGTGATTTACGGTCGGAGAGTACTTTCTAACTTGATGAACTAATCCTTTTAGAGTATAAAAAACTGTGGATCTTTTAAATGCTTTCTCCATATTCATTACTTTAAGTTCTTTTAGTTTGCACATAAGTTAATAATTACACTATGGCAAGTGCAATGTGTTCTGTGAACAGAACAATATATACTTTCAGTAAATTTAATATAAAATCCATTACCATGTATATGAAAAAATAAACAAGGTATCTCAAAAACAAAAAAATCAAAGCTAATTAGAATAAATGTATGACATTTTTTTAAAATCAACTTACTCTTCGATGAACAATATTGAATTCTTTAGTACCGCATACCATACAATGAGATGCTTCGGAATCTGGAATCCATATTGGGGATTTCGCAACTGAATCATTTTGTACAGCTTTGTTAAAATGGAAAATTTATCGGAACAAATCAATCATTGAATAGAACAGATCATAGAATTATTTATTCAACCAGATTCAAATTAATAGACAGACAGATACAACGCAGAACTTCGTACGTAAGTACATCAGTTCAAGTTGTCATACCATATATCAGCACAGAAACGCAACTGTCAGTTCATCAAATCCAAGAGTGATAGCGACAGTAGAAGTATTAGCGCCAATGAAGAAGATTAGAGTTCGAAGATATTATTCAAGAAGTATAATTCGGTGAGATAATTTTAGACAGAGAAAGATAGAGGTGATAAGGAATTCAGAATAGAATTAGAGAGAACACAAAGAGGGGATGCACTTACGCCATTGCAAACGATTCTGAGCCATGTCGTTCTTCTGTCATGTTTTGGTCTGGCCGCCCTTAGCTTTCTTCCAACCTACTCCTAAACCACATTACATCGCTCGTCACGGCAGTCGGTGGTTGGGCATTCGTAACACATGTCCCAACTACCTCAACTGATGAAGTTTCACTACTTCATCTATTGATTTGCCATCCTTACCTAGAACTCGTTTCCTAACGACAGCATTGCTTATACGGTTGTCCCAAGATTAGATTCAAATTAATAAACTTTTATTGTTCAATAAATTCATTAAATAATGTAATATAATTTTGTTGTGAATTTTTTTTCATTTATGGATTGGTCGTATAATAAGGCAGTGGAGTGACGTTGGCACATGCAGTCCCATTTTAACCGGTGACCGACACTAGGTTCATACGCCATTTATTACCTAAGGATCCTGCAGCCCATGTGGAACAATGGTTTGGAATCAGGGTTTTCCAACTCCCCCCCATGTGGATCCTGTACATTCACTAAACCGAGTTAAGAGCTGGACTTCCGCCTATCATCCTCTCAATTTGTTAAACAACACTTCCCTTCACGTAGGACTTCCATGACATTAGATATATACCCATGGCCTTACGGGAACAGTTTCGGAGAACGAACACTCTTTACTCATGAGCTTACCAGGGAATTATGGGACCAATCTCATGAATAGATATTATGTGACACACCATCATAATGTTCTTTACATGTATTAACACAATACTAAGTTACAACCTCGATATACTTTTTCCAAATGCCTGAGCAACATGATGTAACAAAAGTGAGAATTGTTATTGGTAATTTTACTTACTAGAAGAAAGAGAACATGAGATACATTTCTTCAAATGAACCATCCATTGTGTTTTCTCTTCAGCAGTGCTTGCATAAACAGTGAAAGACTTTTTTGGACTAAGAATTGAAAATCCATTCCGGTAGACTGAATTAAATATAGACTATAAAAATTTCACTTACTCCCATTGTCCACAACATTTTTAATAGAGGACTCAGAGAGATCTATGAATTGTGGATTACGAAGCTATCGAATTCAAAATGAAATTAAATTTTAAACTTACAACTTTTCTATTTACAAGAATCTTTCCATACATTAATACATCATTAAATAAGAAAAAATGTCTCAGTTTAGGTTTTCTTCTACATATCTTTGTCAAAACACCTTCTCCAATTAATACACGATTTGAAGTCACTAGTTTCTAAAAATGAATCTTTACAATTTAAAATAAATATACATTAGACGGAAACCCGAATAGCTTTTCAACTTCGGCAATTCGTTCCATATTTTGTTTTTGATCATCTTGAATTCATGAGAAATACAAAAAAAAAATAAAACACTATTAACCTACAAAACTCTTCATTGTCCATCACAAGAAACTATTAGATTATTTTTGATTGACAACAACTGGAGTAAGGCAGTCTGTTGGCCAAAGAAGGTATTATAGCCTTTAAAAGCAGAAAATAGAACAAAAGCACTATGAGTAATATAGCATATTACGATAATATATAGAATAATAACAAACGTTAAAACTTGTAGAGGAATCTTAACCGATTGGAAAATGTTTTCCGAAAAAGTCGCAAATTATAATCATGCAAACATTTTGGGGTTAGGGGAAGGTCTTTAAACTTATGTAGACAAACTAAACTACATACACTGAAGAAATGAGAATAGCTTCAGAAGATACTTTCATTATCGATTGTGTAAATAAAATTCTGAAAGTCTACATTACTGGTGTAGTGAACGAGAACACAGGTGGGGCAACCGAATCGTATTTAACGAAAATTACAGAGTTACTCAGTAAAATTGGAAAACCATATCGTAAATCGTTCATTTTCAAAATATCAGTTCATCATCATATCGAACTGGACTGTTCCTGTTGCAAAACATCAACAATCCATTGTCACTATTCATGCGTTTCATACAAATTCCATTGTGTTCTTCTAACTCTTCCTTTCTTGATCTTCCCCCATCTTCTGCTACCAGACATTACGTTGACACTCACGTCATATACTACTTATAAGTAGCTCGCACCACACTGGTACACATTATACAGGGACATTTTACTTGATGAATTGGCGCACCATAGTAGAGGATATTATGACTCCAAACGGATAAAGAAGAGTTCAGTCTTTTCCACGAAGATACGATCTAATGTAATTTGACTAGTCCCCATAAACTGGTGTTCTTAGTTTCTTACATTTAAAGAGGATGGAGTAGAGAAAACAGTACTTTTTTTTAAAAGGACTCGAGCTCAAAATACGGAGTGTGATCTAAATGCCTCATCTCTGAGAGATAGACAGATTTGATTGGAAAGATGAATATTCCAATGTATCAGAGAATATTCATTACTTGTGATGCTAACTTGAAATCTCACAAAACCAAAATTCTAACAACGGTGACAAGAAAATGCTAAGCTGTTACCTAAAACGAATGTTTACTTTTGTGCTGGCAAGATAAATAGAGAGAACTCATTTTTATACCAGACTACTTAAAATGAATGATTTGACGATTGTCAACGGTTAGAAATATCTGCGAGATCTGATAGGAAGATTCAGACAAATCAGATACAGTACAATCACAAATGGCATTGATTAATAAGTGCGTCGCAAGGTATTCGTACAAATGAAATGACTGTTAAAATTTAACGTCGGTCGACAACCAGCCAGATGCTCTATAATACATACCTTGTAGCTGTCTAAAAGTCACAAAGACATTAATTTACTGAATACACAAGGTTAAAGGTAACCGAAGCTATACAAGTATCACT